TTTCAGAAAGCCATCTGTCCTTCTCAATGGCTAGTAGTTTAGCTTCTTGTATAACATTTGATTATGTGATGCTTGCATACTCTGAATTCAGAGCATTGTTCCTGTGTCAGTGGTGCTGTGGATACAGTACAGTCTCTCAGAATCTGACCAGCAGTGTATCTGACACACTACTGACAAGCACTGCATTGCCTGAAGAGCAGAATGCAATGCTGAGGCAACATGAACAAAGTCAAGTGTGAAGTCTCTGCTTCCGGGATCCGTTTTGTGGCATTCTGGAAAAGTGAGTCTGTAAAGGTTAGGGACAGAGAGACAGAGTGTCTGCAACAGGGAATAGGGAAGTTGAGGAGGGATAGGTATAGCATGATCATCACTAGTCTTAATCATAAAAACCCAGAGTCAGATATTCGGGCATGAAAGCTCAATTATCAGAGAAGAGTGGCCAGTCACTAGAGCTCATATTGCTAAAAGAAAACCTCAGAACTAGAGGCCATGATCCTGTCTGTGCCCCACCTTACCACTTTTTATCCTGTCTGTACAGATTTCCACACCTCTACGGTTTTCTAGTGACTAGCTCCACCCTCTAATCTCCAGCAAGCTTTATTTGTCAGAACACAAACAAAATATTACAATAGGTAAATCATTATGTCCTGTAGGTGTTATTGTCTTATATTATGTGTATGAGCCTTTTGTATGAATGTACATATATATGTATACTAGTGTTAGGAGGTTCCGGAAAAGTATGTTGGATCCCTGGAATTGGAGTTAGGAATGGATGTGTGAGCCACAATATGGGTGCTGGGAATCAAATCCAGTTCTCTGAAAGAGCAATAAATGCTCTTAATGGTTGAGCCTATGCTCTCCAGCCCCTATATATCTTGATGAAGAATATACGACTCATGATTAAATACTTTCAAAATTCATAAAAATTTATAACAAATGAATTTATTTTACTGAATACAAATGACACTTTTTACAAAATTTCCACTGAGTTTACCCATTGCATTTTACTCGTTTTCACACATCTAAAAATACCAGGAAACCTCTATACCATTGACAGCAGAGGAGAAGGACATGTAGGATTGAAAGGCTTTAAGCACTAAACCATGGTCTTTGAATTTTGACTCCACACAAAACTCTTCCCCTTCATTCTTTCTAGTCATACAAAAATATAGAAGCAGAGCAATAATTCTCACATGCTCATTTTCAACTCTAGCACTTCTCAGCATGTGAGCAATCAAGTTTCCCCTTGCTTCTCCTCCCAGCTCCTCACACTCCCTATAGAAAGGAAATCTTGGGAGATTTATAAACTCCTTCATATTTTGAATATATAGGCTTCCTTGTGATTTATAGTTTTGTACCAACCTTAACAAAAATCTTTCCAAGTCCTAGAAAATAATATAAACTCCTGTCTTATTTTAGCTAGATCTCTCTCTCTGATGAGCAGTGTTAGACATTCAATTACTTATTGTCTCTCAACATGTCATCAAGGTCCATCCATATTGTCATCAAAAACATCATCCCATCCTCTCTTCCTGATGCATATAATTCCATTATATATGGGACCATGGATAAGGAAGATGGACAGACAGAAAATGTGTGAGAGAGATAAAAATGTGATAGAAATAGAAATGAGTCAGACGGTAAGTAATTTTAAGGAGCCCTGGGTTTAGAGTGCATAAATAGAGGAAGCAATGCTGAGTGCCTCAAGAACAAATAAAAACAAGTTTTTAACTCGAAACCTATTTTGATATCAAAGCATTCCAGGTTAATAATGGGAGACAGGATGCATAAAAATTGAGAAAAATATAATCAATAAAACTCTCAAATGTGAAAATAGGTGTCATAATGAAATAATTTTATGTAAGAAGGTGAAAATATTGGCCAGAAAATAGTAATTATGGGTAAAATTCATATGTTTCAGGCTAAAAATGCAAAGGAATATGTGACATGAGCAGAATGGATTACTAAGAAGCTACCTCCTTCTCCACAGAGGGACTGCTTTAGGCACTGCCATACAGACCAGAGCACCTCGGTGAGCAGTCTGGAGACTAGCTGGGAAGTTGCAGTCAGAGCCCATTTGAAAATCAAGGAGATGCATTACAGAGAAGGGGGTAAGCAACTGATGCAGCTCTGTCCTGCTTCATCCTGCAGAAGATCTAGGAGGAAACATCCCATAATGTTGACAGACAGACCTATCCAAGACTTTCTCAGAGTCCCTGGTGAAAGGAAATGGGTAACCTAGTTCTGTGCCCAGTGTTGAATGTGGCATGGCCAGCCTGAAGCCAGGCCTCAAAGAATTTTAAGTATCAGGTCCTAAGAACTTGGACTTTCTCCATAAAGACTTGAATTATCATCCCCTGTAGCTGGAGGGAGGCCGCTTGTTCATTTCCTGGCTGCTCAAATTCCCAAAATAATCACACAGAAACTGTATTAATTGTGGACCGAATAGGCATATAGGAGGCTGGAGTGCCCAAGTTAGCACAAAAAAGTGATAGAAAAGGGTGCAGTTGGCACTAAAAGCATAAGAGCTATGCCAAAAGTGTAACAGTTTTTAAAAGGCATGAAATTCAAAACAGGTGACATTACAAGGCCGGTGAAGAATACTCCCAGCCAAGATGGCTCTGAAGGGGAGCAAGCTGGGAGGAGATGTGACTTATTCACAAAGTGATGATTGGAGTTAGAGATGGGGTAAGATGACACAAAGTGTTTGATGCTCATGTGATCTCCTTTAGGGGCTATAGGAGCCGGGCTCATGCAGACCTGACTGCTGATGTGATTGGTTAATTCCCTTCTGCTTCTTCTGGGATTCATGGGTTTTTGCTTCATAAGTTGCATGTTGTAAGGAAATAAACGAGTTCCTGCTTGATTCGATTCACTGCTGCGTCTGATTATCTCCAAGAACCCAGGGACTGGGTAGCAAGCCCTGTACTTCCCTTCCTCACCCAGGGCAAGTAACAGGAAGCTGGTTCAATTCTACAGAGGGACCCCGCAAATTAAATCACTGCTTGGCCTATTAGCTCTAACTTCTTATTGGCTAGCTCTTACACCTCAATTTTATCCATATTTATTAATCTGTGCATCACCACGTGGCTGTGCCTTACTGGCAAGGTTCTATTGGGCATTTGTCCCTGGCAAGCTACTTGGCTTCTTCTAACTCTGTCTTCATTCTCCCAGCATTCAGTTTAGTTTTCCCCACCTAGCTCTATTCTACCCTATCAGAAGGCTAAGCAGTTTCTTTATTCATTAACCAATAAAAGCAACACAGGCTGTTGACAGAGAAGACATCATTGATACTCCCCTGCAACACCAATCAGCCTCATAAGATGACCACTGGTGAAATACTGATATGAAGGTCATAGGCGTTAACAACTAGATTCTGATTAGATTTGAGGTGTCCTACACCAGAGAAGAGAATTTATGTATGCTGTTAGGAATGGGTTTTAACCCATCTCTATGGAGGTCATAGGCTCTAAGAAGGATCCACTATTGTTTTGGAAAATAGCCGTGCTGTCAGACTACTATCTCAATATCTATGTCTATACCCGCTGTTCTCCACCTTGGTCAGGGAAACTCCTTCTTTGCGGCGGGACGAGGCTGAATGAGCAGGGGCTTATAAAGGCAAAACACACAAATTCATCACTTTCCTTCATGTAGCTGAGGTGGCAGTTGGCAAGCATGGCAGTATATTAACTTTAATAAATATATGACACAGTTATGTCACCATGTATTTCTGTTTGATCTGAGAGCAGAAAGCCTTGTGATTGCAGAAGCTGAACAGATTAGCAAAGGTTCCTGTTAATACTGATCTCAGTTTTACCCTGAAGTCAGGCCAGGATATAGCAAAAGTTTCTCTTGCTTCAGTCTGATACCGTAAGACTTGAGCGGAGTTTGGGATGAAGAAGCCACAGCCACGGGGCAAAGGCCATAGCATTAAGATCCAAGCTCTTGCTGAGGCAAAAGCTCAAAGTGTTCCAGTCTGTCTTTCACCCTGACCATTTGCATTTCCATGTTGCCAGTGCCTGCCTTGACAAGCTGAGCTGCAAGCTCTTCCTAACCTGAGCCAGAGAAGCAGAGTCAGAGCAGCTCATGGACTACAACTCCCCTCACAGGATTCTGTACCTAGAGCTCCCATCCACATCACTGAAACATCAAGGACACATAACTTGCTATGTCATGTATCTGGTCAGTAGTCTGATGACCTGGCTACTATCTTGCAGAGGATCTGTTGGGTAATCTTCTGGCTGTACGCTGGCTGGTCTAGTGGATGAAATTTTAAATAGTCAGATGCACATCGGCCCCAGAGAAATGCCTCATAATGCATTATTTGGGAGTTGTACGACTTTCTCTCTGAGTCCTCCTCATAGTAGCTACACACAGGTCCTGGCCCAGAGTTCTAGCATGTCTGCAGCTGCACTACCCAGGAACAAGCCAGTCAGCATCCTAATGCCTGAGCAAGGATCTCCTTTGTAATCCATTCCATAGGGTAAGGAGTTGTCCCCCATCTTCCTCCTCTGTTTTGTTTTTTGAAGAAGAAATAATGAATCTTGTGAGTATCTGTAGAGTCCCCAGGGAATGGAGGCAAAGATGGACAAAAAGCCCACCACAGATGGTCTCCTCATATTTATTTATTATGTTCTATCTATCACACTGTGACGAGTGCTGTATCTTTCTGAGATTCACTTATCAAATGAGTCTAAAACCAGCCACGCATACACAGTGAGAGCTTGTTTCCAAGACAAATAAATAAACACTTCCTAAAACTAAAAGCACTTTGCCTCATTGAATAAATCAACTTTTCACTATTCTGATTGTTTCATTTACACTACACTTTATTCTATGTCTCAATCTCCTCTTTTATCTTTTGGTTCTGTGTGTCCGAAAACATTGTGAGTGAGCAGTTTGCCAGATGGAGAGGAATTAACAAGCTCTCTAGTTTCAGTTTCATTTTCCTGTAACTGAGACTGACTTCAAAAGTGTGTGCCTGCTAGAGACAGAACCCACTAGCACAGACCTTCTTCAGGAGGGAGAAATGGGTATGAATTTGATGCAATAAGAATCAAACTAAAAGGGGAGAGAGGAGCTTCACCAGGGTCTCACAGAGGAGTAGAGCCTCCTGTCTGTTAGTTAGCCTGTCATGGTGGGTCTCTGTAGAGTGGGGATTCCTGGAGACATCTGATATATTACTTATTACTCTATCACAGTATACAATACTTGAGTATTTCTGGACAAGAAAATTGAACAAGAAATCAATTATAAGAGCATAAAGCATAGTTTTTGTTTAGTTGGATTTTTAGGTTTTCCTTTGTTTTTAGTGTGTATGTGTGTGGGCATGCATGTGTGCTCATGCATGTGTGTGTGTGTGTAGCTTGCTATCAACTGTTTATCTGATAATTTTTACTCTGGTGATTTTCAGGAAGTTGCTGTCGACCATGATCCTTATGTCCCAGAGGGAAGGAAACTAACAGCGCAGCTTTCAATTTTCTGTGGCCTGTGGTTTGCAGATCCAGTGTGATTCCATGGAAAGGTGGAGAGCGGAAGTGCACTTGGAAGTTCAACTCCAACTCCAGCAAATCTTCTGGCATTTCTGGTTTGTGGATAATTATAGAAATTAAGAATCCTGAAGGATTTCTGTTAAACTGTCTTCTATATTTAGAAACTGCCTATTTCGTTCTTATTTTTATTTATTTATTTACTTATTTCTTATTTATTTATTTATTATGTATGCAACATTCTGCCTCTATGTATGCCCGCATGCCAGAGGAGGGCTCCAGATCTCAGTACAGATCAGTACAGATGATTGTGAGCCACCATGTGATTGCTGGGAGTTGAACTCAGGACCTCTGGAAGAGCAGCCAGTGCTCTTAATCTCTGAGCCATCTCTCTACCCCCCCCCCCCCCCCGTTCTCTTATTTTATCCCTTTTTTCCTCTTCCCTTATTTACATTTTTGTTTGCTTGCTTGTTTGTTTTACTGAAAGAATATGGGCTTCGTGGAAAAAAAAAACAAGTTCATGAAGAATGTAGATGTATTTCAGCTTAGTCAAATGGTCCCATATCTAAAACCATTTTCTTTCTCCACACAGAAACACATTATTGCCCAACTTTCTGTGAAACAAGCTAGCCCAAGCAGAGAATATATCATAATGTTTGGAGTTTTTGTACTTGTTGATGGGAGATTTTTTTGGATATATGTGATATTTTCTATAATAAACATTTAGGGTTTAGTTTCAGAAAAGAAGAAGAACAAGTAAGGAAGGGAAACACTAAAAGTCACATATCAAGTAAATAAATAAGTAGCTCTCAGAAGTGAAACACCCAAATGGGTTTGGGGTGCCTATTTGAAGGAAAAGTTGTATATTACCTTATTGAAAAAGAAAGCCCTTGTGGAAATCTTGATGCACTGAATTCAAAGGATATATTTTTTTAATGTACAATTAGAAATAAAAAGGGTTGTAAGGTTTCTGTGAAGCCAAAATTTAAAAGACATGTTATATGCTGTTTTAGAGACTTTGGGAAGCCCAGCATTCAACAAGGAGTTTCACGGGAGAGACAAGTAGGTTGAGTGAAAGAGTGAAAAAGTCCAGTTTTGGCCAGCATCCTAAATTTCGAGAAGCGTAACCTGGAGAAGCTCAGATCTTCTGATTTAGAGTTCAGAAAAGCCAGCCAGCTTCACAGACTGTTTGACTGCAGCTCCACAGTGACCACAGAGTGGAGTTCCAGGGAAGGAAAAGCACATTATCTATGTAGAGAAAGACTTTCTCCTGCAGCCTCTTTAGCAGGGTTTTAGGTGGATCAGCCTTGCTGAGGGATGGCACAATAGAAATGTATTAATAATTTTTATGTGGGTTTATTAAAACATATGTTGGAATTAAAATGATGATTCTTGAAGCAATTAAACACTTAAATGAACGTAATAGAAATCAAGCAGTTTCTTGAGGCACATAATTATTCTCAGAAAATCTCATAGTGAACACTGACTTAGAAAGTAGCCCTTGAAAGAATGGATTAGGGAAATTAATAAATACATATGAACATGAAGAAATTAGCTCAGGAAAAATGAACTAATTTGTGTAGATGCCAAAACCTCAACTAGTTAAAAAATAGAAAAGGTTGACCAAGTGTCAACCAGCTCTTGTGCCAACAGAATAAATTTTCTTATTTTGGCCATGGTTGTAAAGGACATAAATAAAGATATTGTCAGTATAGATTCACTTATGAGGTTATAAGATTAAATTAATTATGAGGCAGATGCCTAGGGAAAATAAAGGATATGAAAAACTTGTAAAAAAATACTTCAGAGAATTATTATCTGTTTTTTTGAAACATATTTGAGGAAATAAAACTGAAAATGTATGCTTTATGACTTTAAAATAAAATAACTACAAAGATGCTCAAGTTTTTCGGGGCCACCTCCTGAACAACAAGCTTGTAGTCATTTCCTTCATTACACTGGTGTCACATCTTCATCTTCAGGGTCTTTGAAACCCATTGAACCTGGACTCCAGCAGCTGTTGTTTTGAATTTTGTGATGATGGAGGTAGTGTGGGTGGGAGATTTCACACATGTGCCATTTAGAGGCCAGAGGACAACTATGTGTAGTTGGTTCTCTCACTTTTGTGCATGCTCCAGGGGTTAAACCCAGGTCACCAGATTTGAACTGCAAGCACCTTTACCCACAGAGCCATCTGTTGACCCAAGAGAAACTGCTTTGGCTACAAAATGTTTAAAGGATATGTAAGCTGTCCAACAAGTCCACTTTAAGAACTTTTGGGGAAAGCAGATTGGGATACATTTAACCATCATAAGAAATGGACAGATGCAAACATGAGGTCCAGTTTTCTTTTTCAATTATTTTCCCAAGTGTTGAGAAATATTGACTTACTTTGTTTCAGCTCAGAGATATTTGAACTGTTGCATAATACAAGGACTAATTCATAATGTTGTTGTATATACAGAAAGGTTTTGTGTCTAAACAGAGGCATGTCCCTTGATCCAGGACATGAATTAAATTTAGGCTCATTTTAACAAAATGCTAAGCTGTATTTCAACTATTTTCTCCAAAGCCTAGTAATATTAAGCATATTTAATGTGTTTATTTACTATGTAAGCATCATTTTATTCCATACTTGGCTCAATTTTCTTTTTCAAAATCAATGTGTATTGAGAGAGAGAGAGAGAGAGAGAGAGAGAGAGAGAGAGAGAGAGAGAGCTATAGACAGGAAAATGTGGACAATACTTAGGTAGAGAAGGGATGAAAACTCTTCTGCTTTGCAGGGCAACTGGCAGTGGTACCAGGATTTATCCCTACTCTATGTACTGACTTTTTTGGAACCCATTCTCTTTGGAAGGATACCTAGCTCAGTCTAGGTATAATAGGGAGCAACTTGAACCTTCCCCAAAGCAATGTTCCTTACCCTCTCTGAAGAGTGGATTTGGGTGGGATGGGAGGAAGGTGGAGGAAATGGGAGAATGAAAGGGAGTAGGAACAGGAATTGATATGCAAAAATAAAAAGATAGTTTATTTTTAAAAAGATAATAAAAAAAGAAAAGAAAACTCGTCTGCATAGGATGCTTAGTCACTTGATTTTCATAGTGAGACCTACAGCTTATCCTATGTATACTGACTCAGAATGAATCACAGAGCCAAACATCAAGCCTAGAATTTAAATCAATTGGAAGGTAAAAAATGAAAAACATATTTGTGAATGAGAGCTTGTCTCAAGTGAAGATTTCTTAGTTACAATACAAAAAACTTTGCCTTCCCACCTGGTAGGTAAAATAAAGTAGATTTGGTGCAATGAACACTTTTCTCTGGTCCCTAAAAAGAAATAAAAAGTTAAACAATGGATTGGTATTGTTCTCCACCCACCCACCCCTCTGTTCGCTGTCTTTCTGGCTGTCTGAATCTCTCTCTCTCCTTCCCTCCCTCCCTCCCTCCCTTCTCTCTCTCTCTTCTGTCTCTCTCTCTCTCTCTCTCTCTCTCTCTCTCTCTCTCTCTCTGTGTGTGTGTGTGTGTGTGTGTCACTGTCTTTTTCTCTTTCAAAAGAAATTGCAGTTACAATGTGCTGCGAGTTTTAAAATGCCAATGGTAGGTACTGGAGAAATGATTCCAAGGTTACAAGCACTTGCAGCTCTTCTTGCAATTAATTGTGAACGTATTTCATCAGATGTATAATTGTTTTTGGCAGGCCTGTGAATATTACTATCCTTATACATTTGTTTGCAGTTGACAATTTCTTGTGTATGAAAATGAAAATTATTTTGTGCATTAGTATATCTTCTTGCAGCATTGTAAACTCAATCACCACTTTTAAAGACTTTTAAAAGACTCCTTAGAAATTTTTTGTTTCAGGAGGGGAGAGTTGCTTGTTGGTTCCTGGCTGCTTAGCCCCAAAATAATCACAAAGAAACTGTATTAATTAAATCACTGCTTGGCCCATTAACTCTAGTTTCTTAGTGGCTAACTCTAACATATTAATATAACCCATTTCTATTAATCTGTGTATGGACGTGTGGCTATGGCTTATCAGCAAAAGTTCTGGCGTCTGTCTCTGGCAGGGCTACATGGTTTCTCCCTGACTCCATCCTTCTTTTCCCCAGCACTCAGTTTAGTTTTCCCCACCTACCTCTATTCCCCATGCAGGCCCAAGACAGTTTTCTTTATTAAATAATGGTAAATAAGCATACAAATTGGCACACCAACATGGCCAACTAAATCCACTTAAAAACCTGAGAAAAATACGAGTTAACACAGATTCTTTCTGTTTGCTGATGGCATGTCACAGTTTCTTTAAGAGGCATTTTCCTGATTCAGTGATAGCAGAAAAGAAAAAAAAAAGGTTTTAAAATGGCATCTTTCTGGGCTGTGTTACCAGCGCAAACTCTGACTCTTCCTGGAGGTCCGACTAGGGAGCATTTAAATGGCACTGCTACAGCTTTCTTAATGGCAACATAGACTGGCTGTGTGCCTAAAAATGGGGCTCTGAGCATGGCTCTCAGAGGCAGCAAACAGGTATACCATGCTGGGCTGAACAGCACAAGCAGAAAGTGCCATATTTCCCCTAGCAATGGTGCATTTTAAGTTTTTAAGAAGAGTTTAGCACTTTAAGAAGTGCTCCTGGACAAAAAATAAATACAGAAACACAATAAATACAGATTCAGACATATATAGACATCTAAATGGTTCACAGTGTTGAATAAATCTATGTAGACTTGGGAGAGAGAAGAAAAAGATTATACAGAATTGGAAAAGAAGTAAATTGTTTTTTTAAAAAAACAAAGTTTTTAAAGAGACAGAATATGTAGTAATAAGGGCAGCGGGGCTGCATCCCCAGAACCCCAGATGCTTGGCTAGCTTATGCCTGAAATAACAACACACAAACTGTATTCATTTAATCACTGATTGGCCCATTTCTGTCTAGCCTCTTCTAGACTAATTCTCACATATTAATTTAGCCCATTTCTAATCATCTGTGTAGCACCCCTAGGTGTGCTTACCGGGAAGATTCTAGCCTATGTCCATCCTGGGTTGGAGCTTCATGGCGTGCGTTTGCCTGGAAGCTGGGAGCATGTTGTCTCTTTGAGGCATC